TTACATTTCACATAAACTAGTCAAAGAAAAAACAGAGAGGCCTGTCTTACAAGAGATAACTCATGATTCATTTAAGATTAGTTAACCTGCAATTATGACTACATTCCAGAAAGGGGAGGAAATCTATGAAAAATGAAATATAATTTTCCCCCCTAAGACTGCTAAAAGTTCTTATTATGTTGATATTAAAATTCATAAAGCAACACTAAGTGGCCAGAAACCTCTCCAACCTCGACATTTTTTCAGGGGTAATAATAATATGCAGCAAATGCAGGCCAACCAAAAACCACTTAACTAATTAGTAGTTGCAGTCACCGAGAAAACATGAATCAACACTGTTATTACAAGTGGCACATTTGAGTGGCATCTAATTATGACTTGATGAGCGTGATACTTGCATTATCAACATTACTACCGCATCCCATCAGGGACTAAAAGCCGCTGATGGCATTGACTGCAAGAAACTCCCACTCAATGGTACTGCAGCACCCAACAATCTCCTTGGCAGGGGCACCCTCACTAAATGACACGTTAAGCGTAATTACTGGCCGACATTGTAAATAAACAGGATTGGAAGTGAAAATTGTACCAAGTGCATAAGACACAATCTGACACATTGGAAGTGGCAGCCTTAATTGAGAGTTTCTTTGACTGCTCAAGATCATTTCAACTGCATTTCTCGGAGGACAGTGATTATAACTGTGGAGACAGACGGCATAATGGTATCAGCACTGCTGACAGAGCAGTGAATTAAATTGTATCTGCTGTTGTGTGAAAGCCTTGATGAGAAGTACAGATCCTTAGTGGTCTTATCATTATCACACAATGGTCATGTTGTCATCAACCTTTCTGGCTCCAATTGAAAAGAAATGATTGTGTGTTGAAGCTTCCCCCCCTACCACCACCTTCTATCTCTTGTGCTGAATAGAACCAATTTTCAGAGAGCTATGAAATCACGCTATAGGGCCTAAAATGCAGCTGCTTGGCATACAAACTGGGCCCCCATTAAACAGGAATCACGCACAATATGTGTTTATGCCAGGAGAACAAATAGAAGCTGAGCACAAGCCAAGTTTATTCACAGACACAAAGCCCGTGTAGCTCTTCATCAATATAATTGCCTTTTATATTGTCGTTTAAATAATGGCCTCCATTATTGCTGTAAAATCCTAATATTCCTGGCATTTTATCGCTATGTTTACAAGGTATGTCCTTTAAAAAAAAACATGAAAAGGAAGATAAAGGAAACCTACGACATTTTACAAGAGCAAATATTACTTTTGAATTTTAAATCTTAACTACTTGACATTTTCCGTGACTCTCTTGAATTTCCAGTATCATAACAAACACCAACAGGCCACAAGGTGTACGTGTGTTTGTGTTTGTTATTTTTCTTTCCTCTTCGCTTTCACAGGAATTTGACTTATTAAGGAAATTTCTGCCATGCTGGGGTGATGCCATGATCATTTCAAGGTAATGCAAAGTTTAAAACTATTTTATAGGCAGGTCTTCTTGATTGTGTCTTTGAAGCCAATATAAACAACAGCTGTGTAAATTCCTTCCTCAACAATGTTTTGGTTTCGGTGTTGTTGTTTTTTAAATCTCACTAATACTCCCAACAAAACATACTATAGTGACAGAGACCTAACATAACAGGCGACAACACTGTTGTCATCTCCTCTCTTGAGAAGCTATTCATGGGAGCCTTTCCACTCCCATTAGCTGTGCTTTGTTATCTCTAGACACCACACAGAATCAATAGAACCATTATCACACAAGTGAAAAACTGGGCATTTGGTAGAGGAGGAGAGTTAGCATATTTATCCCTTGCTCCAATGAAAGACATCACCATACCAACTTTAAAATTGGTTATTTGCAATCCTAGGGGTTGCAAAGAAACACAACCTACCATTAAAAAGCAGTATGTAATTTCTTTTCATTGGACAAAACTTGGTTACCTCACAAAAAGGGAAGAACAGGGGGGAAAACCCTCAAACACCCAGGTGGGGAGAAAACTTCCTGTCACTGGTACGTTATTTTCAGGAGATAATTTCAATCAGAACTTATCGAGGCATTCAGTCTAAAGGTATTTTTGATGCCATCCCAAAAAATCTGCCACAAGATATTAGCATGCTTCCAAATAAGACAATCTCTCAGCCTTTATTAACTCCTTTCCTATTCTACTGGGATACACTGCAGTATAGAATCAAAATAAGGTTGGATCCCATGTTCTGTTCAGCTACTGGTGACACTGAAGAGATATAAAACTGAGCTTTCCATACACAGCTTTCACTTCCTTCACTTTCTGTTCTGCTTACTGGATGCACCTGCTCCCTTATGGGTTGCTGGTATAAATCTCTGGGGATTTTAAAAAGAAAAATGCAATTGAGCTATTGGTGATTGTGGGAAGGAAAAACAGAAGTTGTAATTCCATATACAGCATTATATTAATAAATAATAGTGACAAGAATAAGTGCTTTGGAGTTGGAATGGTCCTGCTTCTTTACAGCGTAATGTTATCCAACTGGCTGACTGAAAAGCTGCATAGCATTCCAATTCAGATTATGCTATTTTCAAGAAACACAGCCAAGGGTGTATGTATGTTGGGGAGTTGTAATTGGGAAATTAGAAAGAACCAAGAAGTAGCGTGTATAAAAGCAGGAGAGAGAATTACAAACTTAGAATTGAAAACTTAGAATTAGACTTGAACAACATCTTCAGGAAACTAAAAGACATCTGTACCGATGCTACACATGAAGGCGTGATGGCCCACCCATGGATCAGAGCATGTTTAGGTAAAGGTTCCCTTGCTCGAAAGCCAGTTGAATCCGACTCTAGGGTTGCAGTGCTCATCTCCGTTTCAAAGCCGAAGAGCCAGCGCTGTCCAAAGACCTTTCTGTGGTCATGTGGCCAGCATGACTAAACACCAAGGCGCACGGAACGCTGTTACCTTCCCACTGAAATGGTACCTATTTATCTACTTGCAATTTCTTGCTTTCGAACTGCTAGGTTGGCAGGAGCTGGAACTAGAGATGGGAGCTCACTCCGTCATGCGGTACACTCGGGTCTCAAACTGCTGAACTACCAACCTTCCACAGCCTGCAGTTCAGCGTCTTAACCACTTGAGCCACCGCAGCTCATGGTTACCAGCATATGATTTGACATTACATATACAGTACTGGGATTCAGCTGAGAAAACTGTTTACACATTTAAAAGACTGTATATGTGGGAGAAATTCAATAGATTGGGCCTTCTCCACTGAGGAAGCTTTACATTGGAAGGGTGAAGACTCTGGCCCTCTCACTCCCCCTCTTATTTTTAAGCCATATGTGGTATTGTTTTCTGTTTTGTTTTTAAACAAAGGACATGATACTTTAAAAACTATGCCAAAAAACCATGGGGGGGGGGGCTAACCTAAGCCTTAAACCCTTGATGACAGATAGGTATTCAACAACAGAAACCTCTCTCATCAGTACATCTCTTTCCATTGTATTTCTGCTTTGCCATGAGGCATTTATAAAACACAAAAGCCGTGACAGAAAAAGGTGTGAACTATGCTTGAAAATTGTATGTCATCTATTTCTACTGTCATTTGTACTTTTTGGGGTAGAGGACATGATTATTTCAAAGCACAGCAACAAATTGGTACCTTTAACATTGCCTGCATTAATTCCCATGAATTTCCACTTTTTTTGAACCATCACAACTGAAACTCCATGCTTCATGCCACATCTTGAAGAAAAACGAGAGGAAAAATCCTCCTGCATGTCCTCTGACCAAAAGGCCTGGGGAGAAGAGTTAAGAGCGGTCTTGCCTTAATTTGCAGTGGATTTTAGAGAAGACGGAATTGAGGCAGATTTGGCTCCCTGCGTCTTACTAATGGCCAAACTACATATGACACTGGGGATTGGTCTTCAGATCCCCAGACATGCCTTTCAGCTGGCAAAATGCAACTATGGGAGAGCCCCCAATACAGAGTAGAATCATGACACTGGAACTTGGCGTTTAATTCTTCAGCCCTGCACTGTTTCTCCAGTCAAAAATGTTCTCCCAGAAGCTTTAAGCCACAGAGAGTTAAAAAGGCACAACAGGTGCCTGTCTGTTCCCTCACCCCAGAACTTAAATGGTGGGGGACCAATAGCTTCATGAAGCTAAGGTAGGGTTGCCAGACCCCCAGTGGGGGTCCCCTGGTTTTGGGTGCTCCCCTCCGCCGCCAACCAGCTGGCCAGAAGGGGGGAAATTACCCCCCACAAAAAACAGGCAAGAAATCAAAAATTAACGTGCCATGCCTACATCATGCAGATGATGATAGACATAGGCATATCAGTGATGTGGGAGGGGGGTCATGCTCTGGTTTTGGGGCAAAACTCTATGGTAGAAGCTAATTCTACCATAGAAGTTTTGCCCACACACCGGAGTGTCACCCCCAAAGTCCCTGAGATGCCTACATCACTTCTGGGTGACCTAGGCATGTCATGTGTTTATTTACAGCTTCTTCCCTCCCTGCGTCCAATAAGTTCACCCTTCATGCCCCACTGGCTGGTCTGACAGACCTGGCAACCCTAAGCTAAAGTACTGGGATCTGATCAGAGAGCCACAGATTTATGTAACTGGGCCTTAAATGCAAGAGAAAAGCCTACTCTGCTTCTCCCTCCCAAGCTCTTTTCTATTTTTGGTCTTTGAGAGATCATATTATTCTTCCTCCAGGTTCTCAACATTGCTGTGATGGAATATGTAGAGAGAAAATCAAGCAGGGGTGGTCACGAGAGGAGAAGCAACAGCCCTCCCTACTGAAGGGATCTATAAACTCCTGCCTCCCCCCCTCCAAAAACAACAACAACCTGCCTTTCATTCATATGGGTAAAACTCCAGTCATTACATCAATTTGAACAGACAACACAACCCTTAAAACTGTATTATTTATTAAGAAGTTTTAATTGATTTTACTCATCCGACATGCCAGCATATAGTCTGTATTTCTTTTCAAAAGGCTACTTACTTTTTTGAAACTTTTCCAGTTTTTTGACTGCTTCATCTCTCTCCTGTTTGATTTTGTCGCACTAAAAAGAGATACAACACACATTCTGTGAAAAATCATAGATGTTTTCATATAATCTATTAGTAGCAGTTAGCAGAACCAATTAGGAATCCAGATACTGCAATAACAGCAGATAAACTTAAATATGAATCTTGCAAACCAGCAATGAATAATTCAGCCTAGTCACGCTTTTTAAAGTTCAAGTGCCCAAGTTACAGTGGCAAAATACCTATGCAGGACCATAAATTCTGAATACAGCTCACAACAAGATGAAATGGCTTGCAAAAATATGAAATGATTTCCCAACCACTGCCTTTATAAAATAAGGAAAACCTGCCCAAGCTCATTCCACAACTGATCCATATTTTGCCCTTTTAATTTGGGTAGTCTTGATACTCAAGTTTTAATAGTATAGTGCTGTTGGCAGAGTTTTAAATATGCAAAAGGAGTGGAACTCAAGCTGCTGAAAGAATAAACAGTTTTATTTAGAAGAGAAACAACTGTGTAAACAGTAGAGGAGACAGAAAGTTCTAGAGAAACAACTGTGTAAAGAGTAGAGAAGACAGAAAGTTCTAACTATCTAACCATTTAACTGTGTAACGAAATACCATGGAGGAAGAGGAAGTCTCCAATGAGCCAATCAGGAAGCAGGAGGGGATCATTTTAAAAATGCCAGGAAAGTGATTATGCTAGGTACTTAAACCCTCTGATTCCCCCTGTAGGATGTTCTTCTTATCATTCTTGCTTCATGCACATTGCTGATCTTGTATATTCTAACAAGTACGAATCAGTTCCAGGCTGAAAACCTAGAGCAAGATAACTACATCCCAGCCCCAATATCCAATTAACAAGGTTAGCAAATTCTGCACAAGTACTGGGAGCAGGCATATTGCACCTCTTTTGTATTATCATCTGTTGAATGTCAAGGACAAGAAAAGACAGCGCAGGTTTTGCAAAACATTACTGGCTAATTGAGAATGCCGTTTACATTTATTAATATTCAGGAAGAATATTGTTCATTAATTTACAAAAAGACTAGAAGAAATAAGCTGTTAAATGCATATTCTCAGACACTACTCTGCCTTAGGGCTTCTTGCATTGTTAGTCCAAACTTTTATAATCATGAGCAAATCTCATGATATGGACTCACAAATCATTCCTATACCCAGTTCCTCAGGTTTAATTCCAAATACTTTAAAATGTCATCTTTTAATTTACGCTGACCACTTTTACTCACCAAAACCAGGCCACAACTGTGGGCTTTGTTAACTTGAAACTGGCTTATAAACTGTATGCACTCTCTCTACAAAACTTAACTGCAGTTTCATACAGGCGTCAGACCACTCTGCATCTGGACTATCAGGTGCCATTTTGGAAACATGTATTGTTGTAAGCCAGTCTGTTTGTGTCTCCAGATGCAACATCACTATTCGGGCAAAGAGTCTGAAACTGCTAAGGCCCAATTAGAGAGACTGGTGTGATACAATATTTCTGGCCGTAGCTGTGAGGTATTGCTTGCAATCGCTGCTTGAGTTCACTGAATGAACTACAGAGGCAAAATTAGATTACTGTAGTTTTTCTGATTTTAAAAAACACTGTGGCCATGACTCTGATGACACAAGCTTATACAGCTACTGGCCTTTACACTACCAGGGACATTCAGGACTTCTTCAAAACCAGATGACATTGAGATACTTGGATGATACAATCTGTTCTTGGATGATACAATTCTTGGATGATACAATCTGTTCTTTTCTCAAACTACCTGTAATAAAGTTACACTTTGTGCATTTGATAAAAGTGGGTTCTAACTCATAAGCATTTATGCTACGATAAATCTGTTAGGTGTCAGAAGACTCCTTTTTGTTTTAATAGTGCAGACTAACTCGACTACCCCACTGGAATTTGTAGTCTTAGGAAACTCTGGATTACACACCCACCCTCTGACCGCAGTCACTCAGCTATTGTTTACATGTCATTTCTATTTTATCCTGTGATAAACCCAGTTAGGAACCACTGACTGTCCCAGAGGTTCCAATCCACTTTTTCAGTGTTTGGGTGACTGCTTGTACATGCAAACAAGACTGAAGCATTTCGAGACACTGTTATCATGAGACAGCTATCATGCAGACATTTAATTGGAAAAACCCTTTATACTTTCCACCAAATGAAAGGATAATTAAATTGCATCCTGTATCTTGAGTTAAAATGTTTAATTCAAAGAACAGATAAGACTGACATAACAACAGTGTTGACTGAATGACAATAGAGTTGCCTACCATGTTTTTGTTAAACCTAGATGTTTTCTAAAGAAAATGAGTGGTCAAGGACATCAAGTCTAGAGCTGCCAGCAGCCCCATCTCCTAAACAGTATTGTCTCTCCCTCCCTCCCACACACAAAGCACGCCAGAAGATATCCTGCATATTCATGTTAGCTACTCATATTGATCTGCCTCACAGGTATGAATGCTCAGATGTAGTTTTGCTGGAAATCAATAGTACGTTCTTCCCATTAAGTAAACAAAATGATTTTTTAAAGAATGAAGTACTCCCTTCACAGCTTTCTTCCACCATCAATACAAATTAATGGCTCTTATTAACAGCCAATCTTATCATAAAAATTGGTAACAAGCAAAAAAATGTTTAGTTAAAAATAACACCTGGATTAGAAATAACAAATCAATGTCCATTCTAAGAGCTTGGCACAGCACCACCATGGTTAAGAGACTGGGGTGGGAGGGGGGTGGGAGGCTCATATATCTCATTAACCTGCAGGCCCCCCCCCTTCTTTTTGACCTTAACTGCGGTTCAATGTTATATCAGCACTGAGTCCACCCATTGTTAATACCAACCAGGTTCCATTTCAACTAATGTTTGCAATTCCATATCAAACCTTGGCCTCAAATGTGGGTTAAAACAGGAACCCTGGAAAGAATTAGCTATAGTTAGCAGCAGTGACTATATAGTACTGAACCATGGCCACCAAAGAAAGACAAGGAGGAATTTGCCCTGCAGAAGGAAGGACGCATACAAACCTGAGGGCTTTCCCCAACTTCACAGCCATCTGAAATAGTCCTTTGTGTTGATACACAAGAGGGCCAATCGGTCAGGGAAGCTGACAGCAATATTTGAATTTTTACAAATACAATACAAAACAACAGGTGTCTTAACTCAGTCAACCCTTAACTTTGAGAGCCAGCATGATGTACTGATTAAGACTCTAATCTGAAGAACTGGGTTTGATGCCCTGCTCCTCCAAACGAAGCCTGCAAGGTGACCTTGGGCCATTCATAGTTTTCTCCAAACTCTCTCAGCTCTACCTACCTCACAAGGTGCTTGTTGTGGGGGGGGGGGAGGGAAGGCAGTTGTAAGCCGTTTTGAGACTCCTTAAGGTAGAGAAAAGTAGGTATAAAAACCAATTATTCTTCCTCTTCTTCTGCCCAAGGGTTGCATGGCAGTGCCTGGCAACTAGCTGGAGGGTTGGCAGGGGCACAGCATTGCAGGAGATCTTTTTTTTAAATTACAGCCTCATGTATTTATCAGACGTTTATACAGGAAGTGACAAAGGTCGCTCAAGGAGTCACCAGAAACTCTATGATAAAAACTCCAGCAAATCTTAGAGCTACCCTTGTCACTTCTTGTATCAGCTTCAGGTAATTACATGAGGCTGCTTTTATTTTTCTTAATTTTTCTCCTTTTGCTGATCTGTATCGCATCAGGCAATGGGACCTGGGGGCAGGGGATCCCTCATCCCCACCGGGGGCTTGGCAGCCTTGGTCAACCCAGAGCATGTTTATGCCAGAAAAGAAGCCCCACTGAGGTCAATTAATTTTGCTTCAGTACCAGGGTTACCAACATCAAGCCCAGAGTTCACCCAAAATTACAACTGATCTCCAGACTACAGAAATCAGTCCAACTGAAGCAAATGGAAAATTCAGAGAGCAGATCCTGTGGCATTACAATCTTGCTGAACTCCCTCCCCAAACTCCACCCTACCGAGGCACCACTACCAAATTTCAAATCACTGTTTCCCAAGCCACTCAGTAGAGGGGTTTTTTTAGCCACTTCACATGACTGTCAATAGGAATGAGGGACATGCATGCTCTTTTATTGCTTCATGCCAGTAATGTACTAGGCTGAGTGCTGGGCTGCTATTAACTACATTTTTATTCTATCCTTTCTCTAAAGAGTTCAGGAAAGTTTAATTGGTACTCTTCTCACATACTTTACCTTCATAGCAACACTGATAGGTTAGACTAAGATATAATGGCTGGCCCAGGGTTCATGACTGAGTGGAGATTTAAACCTAGGTATCCTCTGTCCTGCTCTAACACTCTAGCTACTATACCACACTGACTATGGATTAGGAGAGTCCAGAAGACAGGAGAGACAAACACACTGGAAGTTTAGACACAAAGTGGCTGAAGAATGAGGAAAGAGCAGGGAGTCTGCTGGGAACTCACATGTGAGTAAAGAAGAGGCAAGAATAGAGTTGAAGCTAGGAAACATCTCATACAAAACCTGTTTTTTAAATTTAAATCCCACTTTCTCCCTAATGTGGACCCAAAGCAGCTTTCAACGTTGTTCCCTCCTCTTCCACTTAAGCCTCACAACAACAATCAGAAGAAGTGTACATGCACACAAAAGCTTATACCCAGAATTAAACTTTGTTGGTTTTAAAGGTGCCACTGGACTCAAATTTTGTTCTTCAGCAACAACCTTGTGGGAGTAGGTTAGGAAAAGAGATTGCGATAGGCCCAAGGTCACTTGACAAGCTTCCATAGCTGAGCAGGGGATTTGAACCCGGTCTTCCAGGTCCTATTCTAGCACTGTAACTACCACGCCTCATCAACCTAGGAAGAAAAGGATCTCTTTGAGATTGATGGGTTGGGCTTAGGACTGCATTTCCTTCGTATGGATTCAAAATAAGAAGGGGAACACCACTTTACCAATGTAATTGCTTATTTTGTAACAGGAAACAGAAAAATGTGTATGTACACTTCCCCAAGGTTACAGTTCCCCTTGGCCTTCAACAAATTTAAAATATAAAATACTAGGATTCACTGCAACCTGCTTATTAGTACTTGTGATGGAATTAGCAGCACACTAGCAGAAGCACCTGCACTCCAACAAGGAACACGAAGTGTAACTGTCAGGATACATGAAAATGGGCTAAGTCACATGTCCAGAGAACTAGGAACACACAAGTGGGAACCTTCTGTTGGAATCCTCAATATCAACTTTTCACCAACATTAAGCATTCAATGAGAACAAATAAAGCAAAGAATAAATGAACAACACTAGTCTTCTTAGAAACTTAAACAACTGTATGGCTGCTGTCCCATGGCAGAATATCTGTAAACACCCACCAAAAATCTCAACTCCACTCCTGCAATTGGTGCTGCAAGAACAAGGAACCCTACACAGGTAAGCAGAAGAGGTAGGTTCACAAATGAAGGAAAATCAAGCAAGACCTCCACTTTTTCATCCATCCCCCACAAGCAATGAGACACCTATGGCCACAAAGCGTCTCCTACACTCCCTTTGCACATATGGGGAACTATTTTCTGGCTAAATAGATGCACTGTGACTTAACAAGAAGGGTATCCCGCACAAAGACTGAGCATAATTATACACTATACAGAAAGGGAGAGGGCACAGCCTCAAACATCCAATACAGGAAAACTTCATCCAAGTGAAGAGAAAAGTGAGAGAATGCCAGCCACTGTGCTCCATCTACTGACATTGTTGGACAAGCACTTTTCATTGTACGAACACAGACTGGGCACATAGTCCAGGGGGAAATGCTGGAGACAATAGTTCCCATATTATGAAAGGTCGATGTACTTTCCTTGCCCTTTTGACTTTCACACAAGGAATTTACAAACAGTACCACTAACATTTCGTGGCTATTTAAGGCCACTGTTCATCATTTCATCTCAGTGTTTATCATATCCCTCCTTGGTACCTATGCATCTGATTAAATAGGCCCAAACTATGAAAGCTCAGACTACAAAGAATCTATTAGTCTTTAAAGTGGTATAGGATACCTTTTCAGATTTTCTATAGAAGACTAAAATGGCTACCCCTCTGGAAATAATTATTTAACTTATACAATAAGTTAAATATACTTGGCTATTGAGCATATTCTGGGGTGAGTCGCAAAACACTCCTATTGTGTGAACAGATTTTGCTACCAGCAGTAGAAGTTACTTTCAGGCAAGTAGCTACAGGGAAAGCACAATAGGATGAAGATGCTGTTTTTCCCCTGACCAACAGAATATTTGTACCTTTTCTCTTGGACAGCATATAAAGATCAGAGGAGGAATTTTTACTAATTCCCCTGAAATTATAGCTGATCCTGCCACTATTTAGTTGAGATAAGAAACTTCTCTGCTCAAACAAACTATGGGAATGACTAGTGGTACCAGTACTTCATTATTTACACAGTAATTTCAAACTATTAGCAGCAATACAATGTGCCTCTTAGATGAGAACTCCTTTTATTATGTTATATCTTAACCATGGATAGTGCACATGTGAATGCTGGCCCATGGCCACACAGTTTGCAAAGGGCTGTTTTTTTCCTTATAGTCATCAAGGCTGCCCCTTGTTCATGGAGAGCAGATAACATAATAATATGAACAGATTCCCAAGTACCTTCTCAATGAGGACTGACAAGTAATATGGATAACAGCAGATTATACAGTTACATTACCTACATACCATTAACAGTAGGGTGGAAAACGTCATCAAATTTCTATCATATTAAATATTACTAATTTAAAAGTGACTTGAATTAAAGTTGAACATAACAAACTGGTTAAACACATATCTCTTAAAACTCAGTTCATGAGCCTCCAACATATACAAATTGCCTGTTTGTTTAGGCAAAGGGGGGGAAATCATGGGGGAAAATATTTTATTTCTAAAGTAAGCATACTGGATTATATATTATACTTATTATTGTGGCAAATTAGAAATATTTATGACCATCAGTCAAACTGTGGCTAAGCAATTTCTCTCACAGAAAACCAGTTTTGCACAGTAATTCCCATTCTTGCTACCGGAAAGTTCTCTGCCCTTGGCCACCATCTAGAACATTTCACACTGTACAAGACTGTGGTCTGTGTCTTCCTTTTATTTATTAAAATATTTACAATCCCACCTCTGCACCATTCATGGTTGCATTCAAAACAGTGTGGCCAAGCACTGTTCAAAATAATTAAGCAGATATAGTCACAGAAAATTAAACACACACATACACAAAATCCAATATACAAGACCCTCCCAACTCTATCAGCAGCAGAAAGAGAGACATTAGCCTCCATCAAATGCCATTTTAAACACAAAATCTTTACAATGCCTCTGAAACTACGCCTTTGTAGGAACCATCCTAACTGTCGGGGGGGGGGGGGGGGGAGCTGTTCAAAAGAGAAGGTACTACAGCCAAAAAATGGCAACATTTGAACTGTGGCAAATCAGACCTATGGCACCCTGTAATTTATCTGAAGAGGGCTCCGAGAGTATGGGAGGTGCTGCACAGGAGAGACCAGTTCAAATATGGGGCTCCAGGTCAACTGATCTCACTTTTGTTTTCACATGCAATAACGCTAAGCCAAACATGAATCTATTAATGTTGCAGATGCCTGCCTAATTTCTAAGCAAATAGAATTGTGCTATAGAAAAGGCATGTGGGCTGCATCACTGGGAGAGGAGGAGGAGGAGATTGGATTTATACCCCGCCCTTCACTACCCAAAGGTGTCTCAGAGCAGCTTACAAACTCCTTTCCCTTCCCCTTCCCACAACAGACACCCTGTGAGGTAGGTGGGCCTGAGAGAGCTCTGACAGAAATTGCTCTTTTTAAAGAACAGCTGTGCCAGAACTATGGCTTGCCCAAGGTCATCCAGCCAGGTTCAAGTGGAGGAGGGGGGAATCAAACCCGGTTCTCTCAGATTACAGTCCGCGCACTTAACCACTACACTACACTATACTAAGGAGCATAAAAGTATTTCATAACAAATTTATATGTTTTCATTGTTATAACAACCCACTAGTACACATAATTATTCTGGAAATAAGCGCACTACAAAGGGCATATTTGACTGAAAGTTATCTTTTTGCTTAGCGATTTGTGTCACGTTGGCATTAAGAACTGCCAGTGAAGCCCTATGTTAGGTATCACCAGTTGTAAGTTTTAAGGTGTCCTTACCAAAAGCAGAGTTTTTCTGTGGTGACCCTGTTCTTTAGTGCTCCCTTACAATGTATTTTAAAAAGTCTAATACACAAAAAACTTATACTGGAATAAATCTTCCTAAACTTTAAAGCATCAAAACACCACTGTTTATTTTTTTGCTACTACTGAGTAATATGGCTACCCTTCCGGAATTGTTCTCAGAAGGTAGGCTCTCCTCTCTGCTGAGAAGGAAGAACAACCCTTTCCCACTGTGCCTTCTGTAATAAGATTAAGCAAACTATTTTGCTGCTGTTTTGCTTATTTTGATTGTCCTGGTATTGCTGCTATTTGTATATGCTTCTAACCAATTGGCTTTTGGATTTTTTAAAGCCATAGATTGCTTTAACTGAAAATTATTTGCTTTGCTTTATTGTGGCTGAGAGACATTCTCTGAGCACAGTAAATAAGTATTCATGATCCAATTTTTAAGCCATTAGTCATTTGGAGGTTCATAACGCTATAAAAAGTAAAATATGTTCAGAAGCAGTTTTCATACTGGATAGCTACTCATATCTCCCTGAAGGGTCCTGCCAATCTCAAGTTAAAACATGGTTGCAGAAGAGGACAATCACAGCAGCAGAGCCTGCAAGCAGGCAATATTGGTGGTGGAGAGTGAACCTGCCTACCTTCTAATTCACCTTTCAAAGTAAGAGTTTTGGAACAGTGCTGGTTCCACAGATTGAGAAAAAAAAGCAAGACAGTTCCTTTTATTGGACCAGCTATCTTTCAAAAACAGAAAGAAAAACAAATTATACAAAACATTCTTAGGGTGATGTGTTGAGATCATAAGTAAAAAAAGAAAAAGATGTTGCATGGCTAGGATGTTCCGCTTAGCTGAGCCGATACCTTTTAAGAATAAAGACACACTGCAGCACATCAGGTCACTTGCTCTGAGTACTAGATCTGTGTAATATGCATGTACTAATCTTAGGGCTATATTTTCTGCTTCCAAATATATAATTGCATAAAGAAAGTACTAAATGAACTGGTACAACAGAAACCAAGTGTAGTATAAACTGGTGACCTGGTCCAAATCCTCATTCTACCATGAAGCTCACCATGGACCGGACACTCTCAGGCTAATTTGCCCCACAGGATTGGTTGTGAGAAGATAAGAGGGAAGGAAGAACTTTGTTTGCCACTTTGAGTTCCTTGTAGGAAACGAAGGCAATGTACAGAGACACACACCAGTAATTTCCACAATTATCATCACTACTCTCATGAAAGCTGCTGAAAAATATTCTTACATGGAGAAAACCCAGTGGCAGAATCCCTTGTGAATTGTAGTCAGAAGTATAAAAAATTACCCAACTGCAACAGGGTATGTAAAAACTACAGGCTACACAACTTCTTATGACATATGTAAACATATGGATACAAACCTCTTCTTTTGTTTTCTTATTTTCTGTTCTTAAATCTTCATATTCACCAATCACTACAAAAGAAATAAAAAATAACTTAGTAGTGTCCTTTGCAGAAATCCTATTAATTTTCACACTTTGTAAATTCTACACCCATAAATATCATCTGCAGGTTGTTATATGTCAGTTATAATTATCATCACAGAAGTCAGATGGTAACACATCAATGAAACCTAACAAACCATACCTGAAGTTAACATGACTTCCCCCCCACTTTGATATTCATGACACATTTGCTATAATATTAATATTTAGCATTTAGATAGAATGTCAACGTGTTCAAAAGAATGTCAAATATATTATTTCAATAATTTAAAAGATTTTTTTAAAATTTCAAAATGTTAAAATTAAATCCAGTAGAAGTAATTCATTAGAATTTCCCTGGAAAGAAAAAGAACTGTACAAGCAGTTAATGAAAATGCAAATGAACAGATGATAAAAAAGATACTCAACAAGAAAGAAGGCACATACCCATTGGGGGGAAGGTTTTTAGAACTTAAAATCCTTTATTCTTCTAGCACTCATAGCAAACAGCATAACCTCACCACAGAAAAGCCCATTCAACACCCACTCCTTCTGTCCAAGAAATGCAGGAACGGGGGTGGGGAGTGAACTGTGATCTTTAAATGCGATCTTTTTGCGCCTCCACAAACTACAACTTCCACTAGCATTCTGTGGGTATAAAGTGGTATAAAACCTATATGGAACCAAAAGATCTAATGTGGCTTTTTGATCAAGGGTTAATTACAGTCTCCGAGCAATGTACTGAAACCCATATCTTTATCATTTTAACAAAATTGTCTTATGAATCAGTAATAAGAACTGCAGTTGGATAGTCACTACTTAGAACATGAACAAAATATACCCTATTTTTTTTAATGCTGTTACCAAAATTACAAACATGGATTTAAAAATATTAACATTTGGTGGAACCAAAAGATCTAATGTGGCTTTTTGATCAAGGGTTAATTACAGTCTCCGAGCAATGTACTGAAACCCATATCTTTATCATTTTAACAAAATTGTCTTTTGAATCAGTAATAAGAACTGCAGTTGGATAGTCACTACTTAGAACATGAACAAAATATACCCTATTTTTTTTAATGCTGTTACCAAAATTACAAACATGGATTTAAAAATATTTGTTGTTGTTGTTCAGTCGCACAGTCGAGTCCGACTCTTCGCGATCCCATGGACGAACTCTCGCCAGGCCCTCCGGTCTTCCGCCGTCCTCTGAAGTTGGCTCAACTTCATGTTCGTTGCATCAATGACACTGTCTAACCATTAGCATTTGGAAAAAAATCAGGGAAGGTCTTTAGTGCTTGACATTCTGGTACCTTGCTGATCCTGTTCCAGTTTGATGAAGGCAGTGGGATTGGGACAGGGAGAGGAGAGAGAGCATGTCAGCAAGTAATAGAAGTGACAGGCAAGTTGACCAGCAGACTTATTGGTATTACCACCGAAGAGGATTGCACCAAGAGGTTTCCTTTGCACTGTTTCTACCAGTCATGGCACTACTGAGGATGACTTTTTGGTTCTTGTCTGCATTGCTGCTTGTCTTTTCCAGAGGATGAATGGAAAACCTCGGCTCTGCCCTGTTATTCTGCCTGAATCTGTTATGTCTGCCTGACCCCGGCACTACTGATATTTTACTGAATGCTGAGATCAACCTTCTATCAAATGACATTTGGCTTGTAATTAATTTAAGGACCAGGCTTCTGTTGAAAATTGTTTATGATGCTAGCAAACTGTGTTTTTAAGCATTATAGGCCCCTGTTGTTACTGACTGGAATTGTTAGCCCCTTTTCTTTTTACAATATTGCTATTTATTTATACTGGTTTTAAAGTGTGTCCTGCTCTTTGATCCCAATACAGTTCTCACAGGCAGATTACAAATTATTTTAATAAATGAATGAATGAATAAGAAACAATACTTGCTTTGTTCCACTAGGAACTTACTCCTGAACTTCAAAGGGCACACAGACAGGGTCATTTATGAATCCCCTGCATGATCTTAAAATTTTGCTACTTTTTTTTTTTAGGAGACTATGCACACATTTTACTATTCTACTGTTACAAGTGGGAACCCATGATACTCACGGGGGCAGGGATCGCTTCTCCCTCTTAGCTGTGGCTCCTTCCCTCCATTGCTGCTGTTCTAAAAGAGCCTGCCACTGCTCCCGCCGCCCCCCTCATCACATCCACGGAAGGTAAGCCTGGCACAGCTTCAGCTCCCCCTACTCCCACTGCCTGAGCCTGAAACAGCCTGTCTCCGTTGCCAGGCCCGCTGCATCTCGCCCAACATTGCTTTCAGTGCAGCACTGCCTACCCTCAGTGAGCCCCCAGCAATCTTTCCCCCCCCATGGCCTAAACTGTTGGCGAGACTTGCCAGGGAGGATTCCATCTCCCCCACCCATTGCCTGGCTTAGTGGCAGCTCCAGACCCCACCACCCACCTTTGAGATCGACAGCAGAGGCTGTGCCTGGTAGCCTCTCCTGGCATCCTCCACCACGGTGACTGGGCCCATAACAGTTCCCAATTCCTCTGCTGTGGCGGCTAGGACTGGAGCAGCTCCCAATATCTTCCACCATGGCAGCTGGGACCAAAGTTTGTCCTCTGTCATGGCGGCAGGGTCTGGAGCCGCTCCCAACATCCTTTGCCACTGCAGCAACTCCTAGCATCCTCTGCTGCCACAGCCAGGCCCAGAATGTCCTCTGCTATGGCAGCCAGGCCCATAGCTCTTCCAGGGGTCCTCCACCACAGCGCCATGCCCAGAGTGGCCAGCTATACTAGTAAGAGAATTGTCTGTGCTTGCAGACAATGTTTTTTCCCCTTTGGGGGCCAATTTAAACACCAATATATTTTTGTAAATTTTCAATTTTTCTGCAAACCTTGGGTTTCCCCGAGTTTGCAGAAAAATCTCTTTAGTGTTGTAATCCACAGATTTAGATATCTGCAGTTGGGGGTAGATTTCACTATTTTTTATACACACACACCTCTGTCTATCTATCTATACATACACACACACACACACAATTATACCATTCATGTTGAGTATATATTTTCATTTAGTAATGGTGCTATATTAAAAACTGAATCAACTGCCATCACCTATTTGGGCAAATTAATCAAGAGGGCGGTGGTGACACAGTTGCAGGGCTTTCTGGATGACACTTCCATATTAGATCCCTTCCAGTCCGGCTTCCGCCCGGGACACGGGATGGAGACAGCGCTGGTCACGCTGACGGATGACCTCCGGAGGCATCTGGATTGGGGCGGTGTGGCGGTACTGCAGTTGTTAGATCTGTTGGCCGCATTTGACACGGTCAACCATCAGCTGCTGACCCACCACCTCGCCGACATGGGGATCCAGGGGCTGGCCTTGCAATGGCTTGCTTCCTTTCTCCAGGGTTGGGGACAAAGGGTGGCGCTAGGGGAACAGCAGTCCAGGAGACACCCACTGGAATGTGGTGTGCCTCAAGGGTCAGTGCTGTCCCCAATGTCATTTAACATCTATAAGCGCCCCCTTGCCCAGATTGCCCGGAGGCACGGGTTGGGTTGCCATCAGTACGCTGATGATACCCAGCTCTATCTGATGTTGGATGGCCAGTTGGACTCCAAACCAGAAGATCTGGACCGGGCTTTGCAAGCCGTGGCTGGTTGGCTCAGGCT